AAGAGCGTTGAACAGTTGTTGGCAGAAAGATCTGGTCTTAAATTCTGTGGCCGGCTTGCTGCAGTCTACGCGATTCCACTCACGGCTCGTTTTCGCAAGGTCTCTGTTGCTCCATGGTTCCATGTGCCGTTCGGCGCGGCATGATCATGTCGCACGCGGAACCGAAACCCGCGCCACTCATGTTTTTGGGGGAACCTTCACTCGGACTTGCAAGCTTCAATGCTTTGGCCCAGGAAACAGCTGCAGCCAAAGGAAAGTGCGAGGAAGCTGCGCATGCAGGTCTGCGTTGGCGGTATGACAGCATGAGGTGGCTAGGCTCTTGCTATGGCTCTGAATCGCTAAATTGGACGGCTGGCAGCGCGTGTGAGTGACTCACAAAATCTTATACGTATACCTGAAACCAATAGGGAGCCCCCATCACAACCGATGCGGACCAAACTGCAAAACGGATGAGGGCCCACCCACAGTCATACTGTTCGTTGAGCATGTGGACAAAGCTTGACACCAATCGGGGGTGTGGTGTCAGCTCAATTTGACTCATTTCGGCGGGCCACAAGCTGTGCACGCAGTTTGCCTGGAAGCTGACAAAGGCTTTGAAGGAACGTTCCATGTAACGGCAGCTCTGGTCTTCCATGTCAAAGGGGCCAAGGATAGGACCACCCAAACTTCTACTATATAAGGGCCACAAAAAGATAGAATGGGGCTGTGCGGCACCAAAAACAAATCTAGTCATGATGTTACTTTATTCGTTTGTTTATAGTGTCTTCTCTTCTTCTTCTCTGTTTTTTTTTTGGGGGGGGGGAAGGGGTTAACACTATATATTCAGCCCATATATTACAGCCCGGTGCAGTTGGAATTCGGGCTGGTGCATCCAGCATACAGGTCACCCGTGCTCAGGTTCTTAGCCAACACTTGCAAGCTCCACATAGAATATACAAGGGCCCAAATGGCTGTGGGTCAAAAATAGTTACCCAAATGGCACCCTGGTCAATGGAAACATGGACTAAAACCTGTGGTCCCGTGGTGGTTTAGTTTTGACCCATACCCAAATCATTAGAATTCGGTTGTGGGTATTTGAGACCCAAAAAAGTCATGCTTATAGATGTGCGTAGTTGTCTAGCTCCCTTGGGTTCGCCAACCAAAAGTCTCGAACTTCCTTTGTGTGCGCTTCTTGTTTGCCACCAAAATGGTCCAAAGTCACAAAAGTACTCAAGTCCAGGAACCCAATGCGTTCAGGCACTGTATCACAGGCTAGGACACAGGGAAGGATTGCTCCTGGGGATTTCCCTTCCATCGAACAACTTTGGGGTCCCAACTTTGGGGTCCCAGCCGCAGACAAACCATGTGGATCCGTGTCTTCAGGGTAATTGTGGGGTTGGTTTGAAGGGGAAAATGAAGGAGATGCCACCGATTTCGGGGTTTCCATATTTAAGACAAATCCACGTAAACCTCAGACCTAAAACAAGCCACCCCAAGAGACAGCATCACTGCTGAAGCTGTTTGAGCCTTAAGGCTCAATTTGTGCAACCAAAAATGCTACTCGCTGTCATTGCTCTAGGCAAAGCAGCCCGCTTCTCAAGGTGATCCCCTTTGGGCCATGGCCTACAAATGGTTGCCCACAAAAATGAATTCTAAAGGTCAGATCCTCTGGCTCAGGAGACCCGAATTTTGTGGATTTCCTTGAAAAACGGGCGCGCGGCGCCCCTTTTTCGAGGCAAAGAAAAGGAACCCATCCAAAACCTGAATGATTGGGCGGACCCCCTCCAGAAACATGGAACACATCCAGACCCCGAATGGTTGGCTGAATTTGAAGAGGAACCCCCCCTCTAAAAAGGCTGTGGCTTGGAGGTTGCATCCACAATTAGAACCTCCGCCCAGAACCGCGCGGCTTTTGCTGTTCGACGGAAGCAAAACTGTTCCAAGGGCCGGTCCATGGGTTCACGGCCCCAATAATGTACAGTCAAAAGATCAGATTGGCCGCCGATGGAGCAAACCCAAGGCCCCTAGAATCCTGCACAGGATGGAAAGGAACCTGAAAATCGCTGATCAAAGGGTTCTGATCGAAACTGTTTGTAGGAAGGGCCCTGATGTCTACTCGGAAGCAGGCGGCATGCTGGCTTGGAGCCCGTGGCCCACGTCGAAAAAGCCGTGGGCTGCCTTTTAGGGGCCCCAAAAATTGGGTTGTTTCCTTTTGGCCCTTTGGCTTCCTTTTCAACTCCCAAGAAGGGTACCCTCAAAAAGCAGACATACCCAAATGGATTTCCCAGGTTCGAGCGCGGGGTATTGGTCCAAGCCGCAGTATTGGGGGCTGCCGAGTTGCGCCTTGCTGGCCTAAGCTAACAACCAGAGGACCCAATACACAAATAATCCATTTGCTTTTGCGCCCCCTGAAGAACATGAGAAGAATATGTCCAGTAGTAAAATCGATTCCCTTTAAGACCAACAGGGGACATGTAGCACGTGAGTTTGTCTTGTTCAGGGGACACCCAAAATGGCTGGTGTGCTTTTAATTTCCCTTTACACACATTGTCAGAAAAAGACACACCCATATTCTTCAGCAAATGGAAAACAAAGTCTGCCCTTAGGTCATTTTTAGATTCGGAGCAACCCAGACCCCCTCTGGAGTTCCATCGGACAAAATGGCACGCCTTTGGATCCGAAAGGGGCTACCCCCTCAGAAAAGGACAAAGGGAAGCAACTAGCGGTCTGGGCCACGAAACATGAACAAGGCCAAAACGCAAAAGTTCTTGTCAAGCCAAGTTGCAAACCTAGGTGATTTGGCTGTGTCTTGAAATAGGGGACCCCAAACGATGCCGAGATTTCTTTTCGTCACCTTTTGAAGCCACTTCGAAAGGCATACCAACTCCAACTAGACGACGAGTGGCCCGGAAGCATAGAGGCAAGTTGATGCAGGTGAGGTAACTCTCGCCAAGTTAGCATGAGGAGTTGGCAGGCGAAGCAATTCTCAAAAAGTTGGCATGAGAAGCTGGCAGGTTAAGTAACTCTCGAATAGTTGGCTGGCAAAGTTGGCGGGTGAAGTAATTCTCGCAAAGTTGACATGAGAAGTTGGCAGGCGAAGTAACTCAAGAGAAAAGTTGGCATGAGAAGTTGGCAGGTGAAATAACTCTCAAAGAGTTGGCATGAGAAGTTGGCAGGTGAAGTAACTCTCGAAAAGTTGGCGTGAGAAGCTGGCAGGTGAAGTAATTCTCGAAAAGTTGGCACGAGAAGATGGCGCGTGAAGTAACTCTCGAAAAGTTGGCGTGAGAAGCCGGCAGGTGAAGTAACTTTCGAAAAGTTAGCATGAGAAGTTGGCAGGCGAAGTAATTCTCGAAAAGTTGGCGCGAGAAGTTGGCAGGCGAAGTAACTCTCGAAAAGTTGGCAGGCGATGTTGGCAGGTGAAGTACCTCTCGAAAAGTTGGCATGAGAAGCTGGCAGGTGAAGTAATTTTTCGAAAAGTTGCCACGAGAGGTTGGCAGATAAAGTATTTCTCGAAAAGTTGGCATGAGAAGTTGGCAGGTGAAGTAATTCTCGAAAAGTTGGCAGGTGAAGTTGCCATTTCTCGAAAAGTTGGAGAGGTTGGCAGGTAAAGTAATTCTCGAAAAGTTGGCATGAGAAGCTCGCAGGTGTAGTAACTCTCGAAAAGTTGGCATGATAAGCTCGCAGGTGAAGTAACTCCTCGAAAAGTTGGCACGAGAAGTTGGCAGGTGAAGTAACTCTCTCATGGCTGGCAAGTGAAGTAATTCTCGAAGTTTCGGCATGAGAAACTGGCAGGTGAAGTAATTAACCCTCAAAAAGCTGGAGCGGCGGAGGCGCTCCGCGTGCTACATTTGCAATTTACAGTTGCGATTTTCCAGCCATTTGTATCTAAAAGTTGCGATTTTCCAGCCGGAGCTGCGGGAGCACGCTCCGCGTACTACGTCTGTACTTAAAAAGTGCGATTTTCCAGCCGGAGCTGCAGCAGCCTCCGCGTACTACGTCTGTACTTAAAAGTTGCGATTTTCCAGCCGGAGCTGCAGGAGCACGCTCCGCGTACTACGTTTGTACTTAAAAGCTGCGATTTTCAAGCCGGAGCTGCCGCGGACCAGGGGGGAATCGAACCCGGGACCGCGGGATTGCGAAAGCAGGCGCGCACACCACGAGACAACTTCCAAAAGCCGTTTCGCGAGCAAGAAAAACGCACGGCGCCACAGCGAGAGCGCTTCGTTACGCACGATCTCCGCAGAGGGTTCATCGGGCTCAAGACAGATGCGCACGGCGCCACAGCGAGAGCGATCCGACACGCACGATCCCCGCAGAGGGTTCATCGGGCTCAAGACAAATTCGCACGGCGCCACAGCGAGAGCGCTTCGACACGCAGGATCTCCGCAGAGGGTTCGCCAAGGTCAAGACAAATTCGCACGGCGCCACAGCGAGAGCGCTTCGACACGCACGATCTCCGCAGAGGGTTCGCCGCGCTCAAGACAAATTCGCACGGCGCCACAGCGAGAGCGCTTCGACACGCACGATCCGCAGAGGGTTCAGGTCAAGACAAATTCGCACGGCGCCACAGCGAGAGCGCTTCGACACGCACGATCTCCGCAGAGGGGTGCGTTTCGTAAGCTCCCGTCGGGCCTACCCCCGCCATAAAAAGAAGAAGAATTAAGAGTCGAGATGTGAAGGTAGAACAGAAAAGTTAGCTTGTGTTTTTAGGATAGTGAAGTAACACCCGACAAATTAGCTTGTGCTTTTAGTAGAATGAGATAACAGCCGAAAAGTTGACATGAGAAGTTGGCAGGTGAAGTAACTCTCAAAAAGTTGACATGAGAAGTAGGCAGGTGAAGTAACTCTCGACAAGTTGGCATGAGAAGTTGGCAGGTGAAGTTGGCAGCCGCTTTTAGAAGAAGAACCCTTCGCAATGCTTCCGGGAAAAAGAGACACGCCCATGTGGCCATGGGTCAAAATCCCGTACCCCCAGTGAACATCCCAATCCCCACTAAAATAGGTTCTAGAATGGGTGGTGCACCTACCCCAAAGAGGTACCATTGGTTTTGACCCACGCCCACCACTTGAAGCTGCGCTTCCGACGGACCCTCCTGCCCCGCTTCACCCCTGCGCCAGGTCAGAGTCCGTGGAATCGCTTGAGGTGATCTCGTCCTCAGAACCTGCCAAGGAAGATCGGGGCGTTTTTGCGGGTGGCTCGTCGTTTTTGAGTCTCGGTACCCCTCTTCTGTGCTTTCAAAGGGAAGCCAAAAGGAGAACGTCCACTTTTGGAGGGCGGCCCTTTGTGGTGTCAAGAGGGAAACCAACAGGCACACCTTCTCTCATCCAGTGGGCCCTCGGAGCGGAGCGCTGGCGTCAATTTGGGAGGGACAGCTCAGTCGATGGTTTCCACCCTCAAACCACCAGGGGCAACAGGAGTAGTGGAACCCAACTTAGAGGTGTCACCAGTTGCACACCCTTTGTCCAACTTTTTGTGACTGACATGACGAAAAAGGCACCTACCAAGGGCGTGATCTTCTTCTGACCACAAACGCAATCTCTGACTAGGCCGCCCTAGTGGCATTCCAGGCATTTGAAATGCACCAAACCCAACGCGGCTCAGGTTGCGGAAGCCGAACTGAGAGAGAGAGAGAGAGAGAGAGAGAGAGAGAGAGAGAGAGAGAGAGAGAGAGAGAGAGAGAGAGAGAGAGAGAGAGAGAGACAGCGAGAGCGAGAGCGAGAGCGAGAGCGAGAGCGAGAGCGAGAGCGAGAGAGAGAGAGAGAGGGAGAGGGCTTCCAAAAACCGGGCTCCGATCGTATGCACCAAAAGATGCGCCGTGCATCGCAGAGGCTATTCATTAGACTCCACATACTTAGGGTCATCCAAACACACACGCACACAGAAGCAAACGATATTATCACCTGTGGACTCTGGCTAGAGTCCAAGATGTGAAACTCATGGTTCCACACACTTGGCGAGTGTCCAAAAATCGCGGATATCTTGAAACATCGGAGACCTGTAAAGTGGGCAGCTGATGTTTAAGCGGGAACCTCGGGCACCGCTTTTGACTGCCTCTTCCTGTTGTGCACAACGTTCTTCGGGAACCACTTTCTGTGCCAAGACTCCGTTGAAAGTGACAAGGTCCTAAGGATCGCCCCCATGTCGGTATCACAGAAAGTGTTCTTTGGGCGATGCTCAGAATAGTACAAACCGCCCCCTCTCCAAAATAGGCGCTGCTCATCTGAGCTCGTTTGCTTGTTGCAGATCTTGCTGTTGCTTGTGGTACTTCTTGTTGGGTGCTTTAATGGGAACCACAAGGAAAACGTCCACGTCATTTTGGGGGGGCCCAAGGACCCCCCATCTCTGCCCCATGCGGCCGGCACCTTCCAGGTAGTATCCCTCTTTCCGCTTCAGGCGCTCCTGGTACCGCCGCATCTGGCCTGAGACTTCTGTCTATGTGTTCAAAATGGGGGGGGAACCAAAACACATGGGTCCAACAAGTGGGCCCAAAAAGTGGGCCCAAAAAAGTGGGTCAAAATAGGGGGGCCCACATGGTCTTCTTCTTGCTTTTCAAATGTGTTTGTTGTCGCTTTGTTCCCCATGGACTTGCGAGGCATGACATGAATCCAGCTCTGAAAGCAAAAACTCCAAAAGCTCCAGGGACTGCATGTTCGGCCCCTTTGGCTTCCTCTTTGGGCGTTCCGTTTCAGCCTGGTACTCCTCACTCAAACTGGTAGCTCAAAACCAAAAAAAACACATCCGATCCGGAGTACACCACACCAAAGAAGGGAACCCCCCATCCAGCATAAGGATTCAGGGAGTTTTCAGGCATGGGTTTTGGAGGGAGTATACCACCTATATAAACGAGGTATATGCCTTACAAGCTTATATTGAAGGTATGTCTTCGCATCCATACCTCCAATGCCCTGACAAGATTCTGGATGAAGTTACAGCTAAATCTGCCAACCTCCAAGCGGATTCCGATGGCTTTCCAAGGCCGACAAATTCTGGTGGCCGTGAGCGGACAAGGCGGTCTCGAGGGCATGCTCTGATGAGTTCGCACTCGACCAGAGCCAAAATCATGAGCCTGGATCGAAGAAGTCTTCATCCTTCTCATCAGGTGTGGATGCGTTTTTCATTGGGGAGCCATCGGAGTCAGTCTCTCAGGTCCGGCAACATATTCCTTGTGAAGAGTGTTCCTGGTCTTACTTCCTGGGTGAACTGGCCAACACAGTCCAAAGTGTTTGCTTACCACCAAATTGGTCCAAACCCAAAAGTTTAAAGTCCATGAACCGAGTGGGCAAACAGCATAGCCATGTGGGAATGTGTCAGCACAGGACATACTCCGAATGGCTGCAGCGTGTGTTGCAAAAGTCTGCGGCCTCTTAGTCGTTGCCTGAGTGGTTCGTTGATCTCTTGCTAACAGTTACTCCCCTACAATTTAACGGAAGGAACCCAAAAAGGGGGGGTCCCCCCACACAAGCAGATTCCTCTATGCATGGTGGGGTCTATGTTAAACTGTAGAGGAGTGAACTTGTCTAAGGGAAACCCAAAAGGACACCAATCTTGGGTGACCCCTATTTGGAGTAACACCCATGTGGGTGTGTCTGAAATAAAGGAGGCCCCGAAAATGGGTGGGGTTCCCCTTTGGTGTCTTTTTAAAACACTGCAAAAAGGGGGGGGGGGTCCCCAAAAATGGCAGACCCACATGGCTATGAATGTTCAATAAGGGACCCTTTGGTGGGCATCAGAGATTTGGCGGGGATGTCTTTATGTCCACCACTCACTTTCCAGGTGGTTCCCACTCGTAAAAGTCATGGCCATATGGCTGTGGCTCAAAAACATTTCTCCAAAATGCCACCTTGGCAAATGACTCACTTTTTGACCAAACCCTGCGCAGCAACGGGTTTTTTTTCCCCATTTTTGGGCCACACCCGTACCGCTCCCTTCGGCTCCAGGTGCACTTGGTGAGGAGCTTGCAGAGCTCGCAGAGAATTGTGGTGGCCACCGGGCCTCCCGGTGGCTCCGGGCGTCTTCTCTCACGTCGCAAAAGAAAAGAAGAAGTGAACGGAAGGAGGGAAGAAAAAGGAAGTGGGAGAAAGAAAGGGAAGGGAGAAACGGAGAAAGGGAGACAACAAGAAAGCCAGAAAGAGGGGGAAGAAAACAAGAAAGAATGGGGAAAAAGGGAGAAAGGGAAGGGAGAAGAAGAGAGGGAGAAAGGGAAAGGAAGAAAGCCAGAAAGAGAGCAACCAACCAATCAAACAAAAACAAAAACAATCAATAACGATTAGATACATAAATTCAGAACTCATACATGCATAGGTGTGGCTCAGAATTTAACAGCCAGGGGACCGCAGCGTTGCTTCTAAATTCCATTTTCCAGATTTGTCTTTCTTTAGGAGCCTCCCCCAACATGGTCCAGTGTTTCTTTTGCTTTCCCTTTAAGGGCGACAAAAAAAGTTGGTACCCTCACAAAACGACACGCATCACCCATCCCCCACGCCTACAAGCGAGAAGGTCCAACCCCACCAGCCGATGTGCAAGCCGTCCAAGCCCAGGATCTCATCGGAAAAGAAGGGGATCAGCACCGCGCAAAGCATCGCCGCCTCAAAACGAGCGTGCTGGACATGTGCTCCCCAGATTTAGGGTGCTGAGATTTCTTAATTTTCGGACCCCCAAAATTCTGGTGCTCCTGTTGTCTTCTCTGTTTTACCGTCCCAGAAATAGTGCCCTCGAAAAAAGACACGCTCTTAGTCTGGCATCCCATCCCATGTGTTCTTGCTCCAGGGAGTACCCCATTTGCCCATTTGGCTACACGGGAAATCAAATTCAATTGGCTCGACTGGAGAGTACTCCTCCTCCACTTTCTGAGTGGATGGCCCAAAGCGGCAAAGCCCAAAAAAGTGACTCGTCCGAAATAGAACTCAGGGAGTGGCCCTCTCTTTATTCCAAACGAGCTGGCGTTCGTTGCCACCGCCGCTCAAGAAAAAACGGCCAACGGGGCCGCAACCTACGGCGTTGCGGTGCGGGTTTCCGCATGGAGTTGGGATTTCCTACCCTACGAAGCGTCTCCTCAAAATCCCCGACCTTAGTCTTCCTAGTTCCAAAGACAATATGCCACATTTTGATCTGGACCTTCCCTGGAAGCACCGAGGGCCCACTTCCTTCAAGATTTCCCAACATGGGCGGGCTGGGGTTTTGTACTGTGCTGCAAAGCGGGGAAGGGATTTCTTGCGGCCAAGTAGAGGTTGCAAAACAGACCCAACGTGTTGAGGGTAAGGTCACCTTCCGGACGGCCAAGTGAGGCGTCAGGGAGGTCACCCATACCCCAAACACCGATTATGGCTCGTCCCTGATTTTTGAGCCGAAAATTGCAACTCGTGCCAAGTTGTTTTTTCCAAACCCCAAATGGAGCGTATACAAACTATTTGACAACAAGCCTCCTGTGGGGCATGAATCATGGGGATCTCACCCGTTCTCTTCTCTTCACAGAGCTCTGACCATGGCTGTCATCCCAAGCCACATCAACGGGGACTCCAATCAGCCCCCGTTTTGCATGATGTCCAAGGCAGCACAACAACCAGCTGATTAACCAGAGCCCATAGGTGTGATATGCGCCGTCGACCTTTAAGGCGGTGTCTTCCAAATGAAGCGTAGACAAATCCGGACATTTTGATCACGCCTTGTAGGTCCATTTCTCAGAAGTCCAGTGGTCATGGGGAAGAAATGTGTGTTTTCTTGGTACTTGAAGGAACTCCCCTTCCCCAAAAAGGAAACATGGTCACCATTGTCTGGGATTTGGGGTCCGCCTGAACCAAGTCCATTCGCGAGCGTCTTTTTCTTAGGGAGCCCTGCTTGAGTTGCTTTTAAAGGTTACATTTGCTTCTGCCAAAAAAAAATCAAGTAGCGATAGATTCCTTTTAAAGCCAACGTGGAAAAAACACCATATTCTGCAAAGCAAATGGAAGAAAGGGACAAGGGAAACAACTGGTTTTGCCCCCCACCCCCCCATTCCTCGCCTGCGCCATAAGCACCGCCTTTTGCATCACCGGGTTCGTGCAAAGGTCAACCCACACCGGTTCCGAGAAGGACCGGCAGATGTAGGCGCGCACGTTCTCCTAAGAACCCACAGGGTTCCGCTTGGAAGTGGCTGTTGGGCTTGGGAGGGCTAAAAAATGAGAGAAAAACACGGCAGGGTTCACATGGAATCCTTCTCCGCAAACCCAACCAGTGCTCCAAGGTTGGTTGGGGAGGGTTCGGATTGGCTTGGGGAGGTCTCAAAACAAGGAAACCGTGGACATTTGGAGGGGATCGCCGGAAACTCATACACACACACACACACACACACACATGGGTCTGTCTCAGACTAAGCGGTCCGGGGTGCCCCAGAGCAAACCTCTCTAGCTATGGATGTTATGTCCTTAAACGGGGAACAACCACCCTTTCTTTTGGGACCCGCCAAATGATTCCCAAGTCAACATGCAACAGGCTCATAATTAGACTGTGGTTGCGGCGTGCTTAAAAACCCGATCTAGTCATAATTATAGAGGTAAGTTCCGGGTAATCAGCTCACGCCTGAACTTTGTTACCAAAACGGCACTTCTGGCTTGGCCCAAAAAGCGTGGACCCAAACCAAACCCAACAAGTGGCTCTTTCTTCACTCCAATTTCTTCTTGAACTCACTCCGAGCGGAGCCGCTCCCTAAAAAAAACTACATCCGAACCCCCCGGCAGAGTTGAAGCGGACGGCTTGCTTTTCCGCCCAGGGCGCGCAGAAGACCAGGGAGATGAAGGCCACCGTCCTGGCCCTCGCCAGCAGGGCATCGATCTCGTCTTGGGAGTCCCCTACGCGAGGCGCTGGTCGGACGCAAAGCTGGATGTGTCCAAGGCCCCACCCGTTTGGGACGTGGCGGTTTTTGGAGGGTATCCAATTTTTGGGGTTGGTTTCTACTTGGGAAACAAAAGAAACAATCAAAACCTGGTACAGGTTTACCCGAAGCCAATTTTAAACAATCAAAAGGGCGGCTGCACCTATGTTTGGGACTTTCCCTTAACCTTCGCTCCCCGGGTTTTCATTCCGGCTCTGAGTTTCTCACTTTCTGATGGTCAAGGTCTGAGCATGGTTGATAAGTCACAACATATTGCGGCCCTGGAAGCTCATCCCCGATCCTCTATAAGAATCGCTGAATGGACCCAAAGAACAGGGCGGTTTCTCCGGACAAGTTTGCGGCTCTTCCGGTTGAGATTCAGAGCTCGTCCCCCCATGTCTGTTTTGTCCGAAAACTAAAGCAAACCATCGTTGAGACCAAAATGGGGAAAGACTGGTTGAGCTCCCCCATGTTGGTTTCTCCCATAAAATCTGAATCCGTGTGAATCTCAACGAACCGCATCTCAACTTGGAGAGATTTCTTTTAGTGGACTTGCTACATCCGCGTCCGCGTGCCGCCTGCTTCCTCCTTCAACCTGAGGATGTCTTTCAGGAACACCACGCCCACGTAATGCCTCGGCCATCCGATTGCAACTTACACACGGGCGCCTGATTTTATACAAGCATCCCCTGGTTGCCCTGGTAAGTCAGATTCTACATTTGTGGGTGCTCCCTGGTTGTGGTAACCCCTCAAATAGAAAGGACCAAGCAACACATATGGCATCCATTCGCTGATTCCAAAGCCGGGAACCCTCCGGAAAAAAGAAAGAAAAACAACTGGCCGAACAGGCTGTCTTACTATGAGGACCCAAAAACTGGAGTACCCCACAACCAAAAGCGACCCTAAAACCACGGTGGAATCCCCGCTGCTGGCTTTTTTCAGTCGGGGCTGCTGCAGCGAGATAATGTACACCCCGATGATGACCGCGGACAGGACGAAGCCGTTGAGGAGAATGCTCACCCACATCCAGTTCAGAACCTTCAGCTCACAGTCAGCTTGGGCATTTCCAATTCTCGGCAGTATATAAACTCTTAGAAAGTGGTATGTAACCTCCATGCCTCTCGCAACCCTCAAAACTAGCGGTTGGGATTCGTGTGAAACTCACAGAATTGAAGGAGCGATCTTGATCGACACATGCACAAAGCACTGAATTGGGTCGCATGGGGAGGTGAAGCCCTGGCTCTGGATGCCTCTGGGAAGCGGGAAGGGTCGATGAGTCAAAATGAAATTCGCCACGGTTCCTCCAACCTGAAACCGAAAATGGAAAAAGGCCGAACGTTTCTTGGGGGTTGATCATGCCAAAGGAGCAACCCTGATTCACCTTTCCCCACCCCGAGTTGGTGCTTTGGATTGGTGGTGTAGATGGGTTAGAGCTGCGAGTCGGAGCTTTGGATTGGTGGTTTAGATGTCCAAGGATCTATCCCCCACACACACAATCCCACCTGGGCTTCAGGAATTATTGCATCCCCTAGAAAGAGCCAAACGGAACCCTCTTCTGGGAACCTCCAAGCTCGGAATTGGGGGAAGCCTGATGCCTAACAGAGCTGGATGTTGTATCCTGATTCTTTTTTTCAACATGTACCTTAAAAAGGTGGGTATTGCAACTTGTTGTTCTTATCAACATCTACCAACAAAGAGAGGAGCCCAACACATTGGTGGGGAGCGGGGGGCTTGCGGGGTGTCAGCACGCTCAGCCCAGCCACAATGGGTTCATCTTTGGGCCGCGGCGGCTGCTCCAAGATGTTCCTCTCAGCGGTTTGCGGTCGCTCGTTCTGCGGAGGGCATCAACAGTGGTTCCTCCATCTGCGGATATGTCCCAGGAGGAACATATGTCTAGTATAGTCATAGATTTCCTTTAAAACCAACAGGTTGGCAAATAACACCTAATCTGAAACGCGAATGGAAGGCTTGTTTCTTGAGTCCACTGTGGTGAACAAAAAATCGCGCACCAGAAGCCTAGGGGCCTTTCTGTAGGGTACTTCCTTCGTGCACGAACTCGATCCAACTTGTTGTTCTCTGCCTTGTCGGACCTGGACCTATAGGGTTATATATGAAACCAAAAGGTCAGATCCGGTCGATTCGCTTTGAACAACTGAGTGTTTTATAGGGTCCCCTTCTCTCAAACTCCTTGAGCTTCTCAGCAAGAGAAGAAACCTGAGGAAACCTCTGGAAAACGGCGCTGATCAACGTCGACCAAAACCACGTAACCCGAAAGGTTCTTTGTCGCCTTCCGCATACCCAACGGCTTTGTGACGTGAGATCCAATTCGGCACGGAGAATCAGCTGCCCCTCGAATTGGTGGTTTGGAGCCCGAGGGTTTGGTGGGGTGGTTTCCCATTTACCCTCAGGGTTCAACCAACCCCACCAATCCAAATCACCATGGGGGTAGCTCATCTAAGGTTGGCTTTGGACATTTCTCTCACAGGCACCTGTAGGAGGGTCCCCTATCAGGTGCCACGCTCGTGGCTTCAACAAAAAGACATGCCATGGTGCGACTGAAACCGGGAGAAAAAAAGGCGCGGGCGAGATTCTGGCTTCTGGGGATGCCTGCAGGAAAACAACAGCACACTCAGCAGCCACCGAAACCCTTGCTGCGCAGAGCAGAACAGCGGGGAGGAGGGCTTCGGCACGGCAAAGTGTGTGAAAGCCACCGTATCCTGGGTCCCAATTTGAAGGGCACCAGAACGCACCAGTTGGATAGTCACTTAGGAGGTAAGTGGCACCGAGCATCACACCAGTAAACCACCCACCAAAATCCGGGACTTCAGCATCAGACCCTAGAGCTGGACGAGCGAAGCTCCAGCTTCGGCGTTCGAATTCGAGCTTCGGATCCTTTCTCCCGGCTCCATGCCAAGGGCAATGGAGGGAGGCAGATCGGTGACCAGAATCAGGAAGAGGATCCTCAGCCAAAGATTAGCATAGGCAAAAAATCCGGGCTGCTAACTTTTGGTGATGTTAGAGTCATCAGCTGGAAGGAAAAGGCACCGCTCCGCGCTCCGTTGGAGCTTTTTGCAATAACGAGCTCTAGGAAACGGTTCACCGGCACAGCAAACAGAACCAAGCCCCTACACGCAATAGCCTCTTTTCTAAGGGTATTCTGTCGACTTTCAGGGATGTGTCATAAACTCTGCTAAACGGTTTAAGAGTCTATAAGACTATGACTACCCCAAAAACTGGTTGTGTTCCATTTGGCTTCCTTTTAACCCCAAAAAATAAGAGGGCACCCTAAAAAACAGACACACCCAAATGTTGCGCCTGCAAACCGCCGAGCTTCTTGGTGGGAAATAAACATTCTGCCCCAGGTTTTGAGGCTGAAGCAAAGAGTGGCCAGATTTCTGGGGACCCGATCGCTTGTCATTGTCCAAGACCAAACTGAGTGGCGGAAAACGGCCAAGCCTTTGGGACCTTTCTTGGCTGGTCGGACTCTGTCCGGTCAGATACCTCCACTGAGGGCCGGGACTTTGCTAAGTGGCTAGCAACCATGAAGTATGGCCTTCCAAAGCCATGGTTATACAGCTCAGTGGGTCGCCTTCGTCTCCATGAAAAAAGGGGGGCACCGGGCGGCACCGGGCACCAACCCCCCGTTGTTGTTTTGCCATTGGCCTTGAAAGGAACATGCCCAGGTCCAAAAGGAAGCAAACCACTGGCCTGTTGGATGCCCAAGCCGGAAGGCTTGGGACTCACTTCCCATCGAGTCCACAACACTTCTTGCTTGCCACGTAAATAGGCGTGTACCCCCGTGTTTGTGTGTTGAAAGGAAAACGAAGCGGAAAACCGGAGCCTCCTGTTTTCCGTTTCTTTTTTGGTGGGGGGGGCCCTAAAAACTGACACACTCAAATGGTCCAAGCCCCAAAACGTGACTCAACTCCAGGAACTTGAGTGGGGTTTGGGCTCAAGCCGGCGGAGACCCCGACCCAGGCCCCCCTCCCTGCGAGCATCTGCAGGGGCGTGCGCATCAAAGGCATGGATGTCACCACACACCAAAAGATTTGGATCACTTCGGCGATGTGCACCTCGGGAAACTGCGAAAAATGGGCGTGTCTCATGTTTCATGGGGGGGAATCATGAAACATGGACCTTGGTGTCCCTTGTGGCGTCCCTTCAAAATCCGATGCAATGATTCGGGTCGGAAAACGAAGCACATCCCCAAATGGAAATGCCACATGTTCGGGTTCCGATTCCCTTTAAACTTCCCAACCACCAACAGTTTTTAAAGGGGTCCTTGAAAAAAGACCCAATGATTCCATGTCTCTGGTTTTGTAGGGAAGCAAGGGAACCACCCTTTACAAGCCAAGGGAAGATTGCTGGTTACCTACTGGCAACTGGGATCCACTGGGAGACACACCCAAATGGAGCCAAAGAAGGTTCCACAGGCAGTGATGGCTCATGTATTCCAAGGCAGCCCTGCAGCTAGGTTTGTTTTTAGGGGAATCCCTAACATGGTGGCTTGCCCTTTTGGTTTCCCTTTAAAACGACAAGATAGGGTCCCTCAAAACAAGACACACCCAGATGGAATTCCTGACCCGGGGTTGGTAGCAATATTGTTGTTTAACATGCTCATGCAAGCGCAAAGAATCAGAGGCGAAAATGGGCAAGTGTCAAAGTAGGCGACCCCCAAATGGTGGTTGTCCCTTCGGTGTCCCTTTAAGACCCACAAAATCACGCAGCACAAATGCCAGGAGCGAAATGGTCGCATTGTTTCAAATCCTATCCTACTGCACCAATCCTGCTAAGATTGACATGATCTATCCTACCACAACAATCAACCCACGCAAGCAACAAACCAAAGACTTTGGCGCAGCCGCGCAACAAAAAGGATTGCTGCTTCAAGAAAACCAAAGCCATATCGCGCAAGTGAGAGAAACAACAGGTTCACAACCCCTGTTTCGACAACAAAAGACGAGAGCAAAGATACCATCTTGTAAGATGGTTGCTGCAACAAAGATAAAGACATCTTAAACCTCGTGTCGCTGTCAAACAAGCACCGGAAAAGCACGTCCTGAGGGGCCCTGCAACCCTTCCTTGGGCTCTTACAAGCCCATTTGGTCCACGACTGGCACGGCATTTCGCTTTGCGAATCCCAGACCCCGAGTGGCCGTAGGGGAATATGTCTGTATGGCCCACACCGTCCAAACAAGAGTTGAAGAAAGGAAGCGACCCACTGAATGTCTGGGAAACGGAGCGGCAAATGGGTACGTCTCAAAATAGGAATCGGAACCTGCGAAATGGCAAGGGCTTCCTTCAGGCTTCCTTTCTAACCACTCCCCCCCCCCCACGAAAACAAAAGAAAAAAGAAAGAAAAACATCAGGTACCCCCAAAACGACAATGACACCCAAAACACTGGAAAGTGAAAAACGGACGACTTGAAGGCGCCAGCCCCCGCCCCCCCCCCCTCCCCCCCTAACCAAAGCCCACGGTTTCCACAACGACGCCGGCCGCGAAAGGAAGCAAACCGCCGACGCGGCGCGGACATGATGAAGGCCACGAACTTCTGAATCCCCGCGTAGATGGCGCGGCCCTTCTCCACCGCGCGGACGATGGAGGTGAAGTTGTCGTCCGTCAGGATCCTCTGCGCTCGCTCGCTGGCGCAGGACCGGGTTCGGCCCAGTGGAGTTGAGGGGGAGTTTGCAAATAGGTCGGCTTTCTCACTTGCCCAAAGGACCTGGAAAGAACAGTTGACCGCCTTTTGGGGTCATAGATAAATAAAGGGAACTGGGGCTTTGGAGGGTGGATCCATTGGCACCGGAGTGCGCCTTTGCACCGACCGTGGAAAACCTGATTGGGAGAGGTAGGCAGGGTGGATGCTGTACATCGCCCCAAATCCCCGGTAAATCCACAGTGTCACAGTAGTTGCAAAGGTTTTTATAGAGGCCTATCATCTGTGCAAAAAAGGGCGGGAACCGAACCACCCCGCATAGCCAATAGGTTCAGAACCACCCATTTCAAAATGGACAGGAATCGGTTTTGTGCCAAAAGTTGAAGAACATAACAAAAAGTCTTGAGCAAATAGAAAGCGAGGCCTTCATACAAGCGATGTTGAACCAACCAAGGCCCACAAGCGGTATCTGACGCGGAAATCGCTGACATTTCCGAGCTCCCCCAGTTGCCATAGAAAAGGTCGCCCCTTGTTTAGTTGAAAGGGGAGAATCCCCCCCCCCCCGCCCCGCAAAAGTTGAAGCAACCCACATGTGCTCCGTGTCTAAAACTGGAGATGAAAGCTGGGTCCAAAGTGACATCCTCAAATTTACCGTCTAAATGGTGGCAAGGGAACTTCTGTATCCTAAAATGAGAAACATGTGACCACTTTAAGGTACGCATGACACAACGTACCGAATAAAAACGTCCGTTTCTCACGAATATGGACACCTTCACCCCTTGGTATGGCTTTAAGGGAACCCGCACGGGCAACCAAGCACCATGCTTGTCCGGAAAAAATAAGAAGAAGCACAAAAACCAAACACTGCAAAACCCGTCAAAAGGCGCAAACAGGCCTAAGCCTCGCCTTCTTCCATGCCCCCCGTCTTCTCAACCCAAAACAAACACGAAACCGCGCCCCTCCGCTCCGATTCGAGCGGACGGACTCCGACTCCGACTCGGCTTCCAGCCGAGACGCATCTCGGAGGCGCCCTTGGCCACCTCGGTGCCCTGGAGGCCCATGGCCACGCCGATCCGCGCCTCGTTCAGCGCCGGGGCGTCGTTCACCCCGTCCCCCGTCCTCGGATCGAGGCACGGCCACGACGACGACTCGCAGAGATCGAAAGGCGAGAGGCGCGGAGGGGTCGGCGTCTTGGGGCATTGGGCATGAAGATATGTTTGGGGGGGGTGTCTGCTGGAGGGTAGCATGTTTGACCCTTGTCTCTTTTGAGAGCGCACTCTTTTTGGGCTCAATTTGGAGACACGGGGGGGGGAATCCAAGTAGGTTCCACACTGACAGCTTCGAGGCGCAATTGGCGTGTAAACTGTCAGGGGTAGAGGCCTTTCGACGAGTGGTTGCTGTGTATGCAATTGGCCCGCATTGCCGCCTAAGGGCAAGTTGCCATTGTTCAAACCATAGAGTTGCGAGCGGCTGGTTCCTTCAACATTACTCGCTTTCGTCCAGAAATGGAAGGGGGTGCAAAGTGCAACCCCTTGCAACTGAAATCAGGGTTCATTTTTCGGTTGACCCCACAGTGAGCCCTTATTGAAATATAAACACCAACCCTGGGTGTACATCTCTTTGGGATAAGCAAAACTGGAAAGCCCTCGACTGACACGTGTGGCTCAACACAGGGGTATGACAGCAACCTTCATCATGCGCGACTGCAAAAACCAGAGGGTTGGCAAGTGCTGACCCAATATGAAGGACACCTCCACACCGGGGCGGGGGCCCTCTTCGTACTTGTCCCATGGAATTTTGCTTCGGGACCCTCAGGTGGACATCGTTTAGGTGGGGATTTGCATCCTCCCACTGCGGGGGTTCATTCACATAGCCATTTGAACCACCAACACAATTCCCCCAGAACGGCTTCGGTACCCTGCAGCCCCCGATCCTGCTTTTCACCCCGTGGTTTCTCAAAAGCGCTCGGAAAACGGCCCTCCAAAATCAACAGGGATGAATAGCCACTTCCTCCAAGACGCAAGCGGAGACAACTCTTTCTTGGCCGGTCCGGTTGAAAAAGGGAACCTTCGTTGGTACATGTGATATTGGGAACCCGCTGAGAAGGGGTTGGCGGACCTAGTTTGTCTATGCAAAGGATGTCCACCAAAGAGTCCCCACTAAACTTCATGCCTGCCTGAACCATCTGAGTCCCCATCGTGGCCATGGGGAAAAAAGGCCAGTTGATGTTTTGCCTTTTACCAACAACATGACTGTGCTTTGGGGAAGTGTGCGTGGAAAAAGCAGCAACGTGGCTATGTTGGCAGTCCTTTTATTACTTGATGCTGAAGGGAAACCACTCCAAAGAAAAAGGGAACAAACGGCACGGGAGATCTCGCCACCTTTCACTCGCCAGCTCTCACCTGTTCCCTTCTCGCAAAGAACAAGGCGTGCCCGAGAAAACCTGGCTATTGCCCCCCCCCAAAAAGCTCGACCATCGGCCTGAAAAAGCACACCCAAACTCCAGACAGCAACGCTCGGTCCCAAGAAAAATGTCAATTTTCACAATCTAAACAACGCTTCCCATTGCATCCAGCCCACCACCTTCTGCAAATCCCTGGCTAAAAAAGAAGGCATGCGCTTCCGGAAAACCTCGATCCTCTCGATCCAATCTCAAGCAAAGGCGCATGGCGCATACGAGGCCCTGCCGTTGCCTGCCGACGCAACCAGCCAGTCGCAAACCTCTAAGATGTTTTTTCACAACCTCCAAGCAATCCCAGGGCTTAGTGGGATACTGCCACTGCAAAACCACGAAAACTACCCCCCGGCGTATCCCGAAAGCGTTTAGCAGAAAGAAAGAGCCAAACCGTATCCCACTAGTTTGAAAAGAGCGTTCGCAATGAAGCGACAAGGATGGGTGGAAGCCACGCACACTCATAAGCCCCCAGATGTCTGCCAACCCAAAACTGTGGACTCTGGCTCCCTTTCCTTTTTCACGGCACCGGGCAGGATGCGCAGAAGTTCTCAACACATCTTCAGTCATTGCGGTGGGTAGTTCTGCGAAACGCTATGCACGCCGCTTGTTAGAAAATCCTTGGCGGACTCCCCGCAGCGCAGCAGCTCGCCTGCGGAAATGCACTTATGCATTACTTTTTCGCTTTGAAAAACAGTTTTCGCGCAAGAGCTGCGAGAACATACTTTGAGTACTTCTCGCAGCGCCTATAAGCAACGGCTTTCGTGCCAGCCTGCGCAAAAATGAGTTTCGAGTGCTACTTTGGTACTTACAAACAATGACTTTCGCGCAACGCAGGAACGTACTTCGAGTACTACTTTCGTTCCCATTTTCGCGCCTCGTGCCAGAGCTGGATAGCAAAGCTATATTGCGATTGACCATGCATCATATCAAAGATCATATTTGCAGATAGGTGCATTGATAGTCCCAAATATTTGTTCCGCTCAATGTTGGCGATGCCTCGGTCTTGGATCCACTTGGCAGTTGTCCGCAGCGTTCCGTTGGCTCATTTTCACAAACACCTAAACCCGGGGACTCGGTTTTTGAGGAAATCAACCACCCTGGGTTTAAGGCTGGTATCTCAATGGCTGAAAACTTCGAGAGCACTGCGCTTGGGTTGCACGAATTGTTCCAGGGCTCGCCAAGTGAACAACGTCCTCAAAACCGAAAGGAAATTCCCATGACGCGCAGAAAGTGGCAATGCAAAACTACTTACCTTGAAGGACGCCATTCGAAATTCGACGCATGCCCATGCTCTTCGAAAACCGTAATTTCTTGGTGTCTGTGGCCCCAAAGCCGATTTCCCCACCACCAATGTATGGATTCTACAACCTCCTTTCAGTTTCCCAAACCATCACCTCCAAACTGTCACCTCGCCCTCCATGTATCGGACGTGCTGAAATTCCAGTCTCACCCATCTTTCTGCTCAGAACCCGCCACCTGTGGGACCAAGGCTATTACTTCCCACGAGCTGAGCCGGTGTTGGGCCGAGCGGCAGGGACTTCACGATCTCCAGCTTGTCCGCCGGTTTCGCGCGCGCGAAGACGCGCACCCGCGCCGTCATATCATCCTCGAGTCGTTGGGAATGGTTCTATCTTTTAATTGCTTTATGTTTAGTAGCAGATTGTTGTTTTTGAACTGTCGATGAATATTGGCAGAACCTTGTTCACAGGGGTTCTGAACCGGTTCTGCATCCTGAAGCAACTGAACCAACTTCCTTTTGAGCCTCTCAACATGAAGGCAAGGCTCCCCATGAAACCCTGAAATCAGAACCTACGGCCAGCAGGAGAAACCGAAAAGGAGCAGACCCGCTTCGGCGAACAATCCTGGTGGCTGGGGGATTCTTGGGCTAACGAAGATCCGTTTGGGGACCTCCGCTTGAAGGGAGGCCAAAGGGAAACCAGCCATTTTGTGGAGCCAGGGGTAAACCCATGCCAACTTCAAAAGGCAAAATTTCTCGGGTTCACAGCTGGGATGATGGCATTTACCTCCCAGCATTTGCTCTCAGTTGGGCCCCTAGGGAGCTTGGGGTAAATCGCTTGTTTGACCTTCGGATCGGTGAGCTCGTTGTGCTCAAAGTTACGGCCGCACCTTTTTTCACGAACCCAGATACTTGGGATTGGCGATTGGAACTCCTGACTTCAAACTTTTCAGGAACCCAGACAAACCATCCAAAGACAAGGGATTCAAATCCCCAAACCACCAATCCAAGCCACCAACCAAGGGGAATCTAAAAATGGGGTCCGAAATTTGAGAATCAACACCCAACCACTGCTTTTCTCATATCCAGAATCCCAAGTACCGTCCAAAAAGCTGTGGGCGGGGGGGGGGGGGGGTGCTGGTTCTGGAAAATCCGAAGAACAGGTGGGGGGACGAGGGTTTGGCACTTCTCTCTCGCTGAGCGCCGCGCGATGCGCTCGTCCGGCAAGTAGTCGTCCCCGTTGGGACGCAACGAGTTGCAGTCGACTGCCTCGAGTTGTCGGCCGTCTTCAAGAGGAAACTCATGCATGGCAACCAAAACGTGATGGTTAAACTGCCAAGAACATGTAGGGATGTCTAAGTGGGTGCTGAAATGGCTCAACGCCCAAAGCCTCGTGGCCAATTCAAAAATTTAAGCCTTTTCCTCATTCCCATGATTAATTTCTCGACTTTCTATTGGAGCCACTCATGGAACGCAACCTAAACCCCACTTTCCCGCTTCACTTCTCGAAGCTAGAAGAGGCAAGAAGAGCTCCACCTCCCCCATGATGGGTTTCTATGGGGTCCGTCTGAGTCACAATCAACAACCTATATTAAAAGGGTATGCCCAAGACCAGGTGAATCAAAAGGGCATCGATTTCCCAGTTGGGACTCCACCCTTACCCTTCGGGTGTCGAATTCTTATCTCAAGGGGCTGCGCCTGGCGGACTCGCGTGGCAAGGGGGAACTGACTGAGCCCATGAGAAATTGAATCGATCTCTTTCGAATTAGGGCTTCCTAGTGAGAAAAAAAAAGACTCCAGCTTGAACAGCCCTCTCACCTGTCGCCGGAAAGTTCCTGTGGCTAGGCCCACCCTCTGACAAGGAACGGGTGCTGCCTGCAACCATTTTAATCTGGAACCCACTAGCAAACGGTTGGCCCACTACCAACGAGCGGAAGGTTCAGAAAAGGCGTAAATGGTATTTGGTTTTCAGCCACTGAACTGGTCCCAGAAAGTGTAATGTCGACCTCGGATCAATCTGGGCCGTACTAATCAGAAATGGTTCCCCTTCGGTCCTCCGCGAATCAAGTTTCTTCATGGATACTACAAGGCCCATAAGGTGGTTTATCCATTCAAATAGTGCTGTGGGATCCTATGAAACACATTAACGTCATGAACCTACGTATGCCCCCGTAAATTAGCTTGGAACTCGAGAGCAGGGCTCCCAAAACGAGACGTGTAAAATGAAGGTGCTACAAGTTCCACGTTCAGCAGTGGAGTTCTTTGGCCCTACATATTAGCCAATTGAATCTGAACCGGGATGACAAAGCGCAGGGAAGATCGGGATCATAAGGATGGTGCTGTTTTTGAGGCAACCCTTCTTGGTTGAAGGGAAAGCTGAGCCTTATCCACCTGTCTGTGTGTCAAACTCCAATCTCGAGAACTCAGACATCGGTTCCGTTAACAAAAGCCAAGCCCCTTCCAAAAAGAAACCCGACGGAGGATTAAACGAAGTTGCTTGTTCACAACCCAGAGCCACACGAAAGCATCATCCTTTCCAAGCCTCAGGGCACACTCAAAACACGAAGGCACCAACATGAAATGTAAACCCAACTGTGCGCCAGGCGGGACATTAAGCAAAACCAGACTGGCGAGCTGCTCTGGCGGGATACTGGCGGGATCCACTGCCAAATACTGGCGAGCTGGCCGGACACTCGCCAGGATCCACGGGCAAGGGAAACTCAGCGGGATGCTCGGCGGGATCCACTGCTCTGGGATGCTCAGCAGGATACTCGGCAGGATCCACTGGCGAGCTACTCTGCCAGGATACTCAGCGGGCACTGGCGAGCTACTCTGGGATACTCAGCGGGAGACTCGGCGGGATCCACTCACGAGCTACTTTGGGATACTCAGTAGGATACTCGGCGGGATCCACTGCCCCAAGTCTCGGGTATTGGTTTTTACCAATATCGCTCGGTTTTCAAAAAGGAAACCAATCCTCGCTCGGTAATTTACAAATATTGGTTTTTCCCATCTTGCTCGCTCGAAAAAAAATGATATTAAGATTTCCAAGAAAATATTGATATTTAAATATTGATATTTTTACATGTTTTCATGTGATGAAGAAGTTGCATTGTGTTTGTTCTTGGGGTTCCTATACTTGGGACTGCAAAGTCCAAGGAAGGACTGCAAAGTCCAAGGAAGGACTGCAAAGTCCAACGAAGGACTGCAAAGTCCAACGGGGTCAGGGGTGGACTGAAAAGTCCACGCAGGATTGCAAAAAAGGCCAGAGCAAGACAAGCTTGAGCAGATTGTCAAATGCAAAGCTTAAGGATAGGATTGCAGATTGTCAAATGCAATGGCAGCACACACTTGCACCAAACATGGAGCAAGACAGGCAGAATTTGTTGATTGACACGCTATTGTGTGATGTTCCTTCCAACAGTTTTTGCAGATGCTGCACATTTGAAATTGAGGACTCATCAGGTTGTGTGCTTGCTGTGTGCCACAAAGGTTTGTTTGCTGCAGCATATATTTTGGCAGTGCTGCCAACTGTTTTGTTTCATCCTTCTGGTGAGTGAGCCATGGCCAGCAGATCCCTCAAGCTTGCCAGGGATGCTTCAAGGAAGGCAACCATCAAGGGTGCTGTGAAGAAGTATGACTCAGGAGACCTTGAAGACAAACTGGGGGCCTACATCAGGCACACAGGGGTGGAGCACTGTTTCGACTTTGGCCCCTACAAGTCTATGCCTGCAACTTTTGCAGTGAGGGGGAGGGCTGTGGTGGCTCTGGAACCTTTGGTGCGGACCATTTTGGAAGTGACACCTGCCTTACAGTACTTGATACAAGTTTATTGCATTTTATGGTTCTAGCATCTAGTTGCTGTGAAAATGGGTTTGCTTGCAGCACACAACCCAGGAACCCACAAGGAAGGCTGCTACAGGTGGAAACTGAGAAGACCTTGGCTAACTTGGCCATCAAGTATGAGTTGTGCCAAAAGCAGCAGCTGAAGAACTACTCCCATGAGCTGTATGAAAGGATGGTGGTGATCCTTAGCCATGTGAGGCGCCTGAAGAACCCTGTCAAGTGGCAACAGTGCAAGAGGGGCTTGACAGACAAAGAAATTTCTGTGCTGGAAAACCTGGTCAGCAAACTGGTGGATGATGAACCTGGGCCTGCAAGGGCCTCCTTGCCTTCAACCCTCCAAAAGGACAAATCACACACAGACACACACCAGCCTGATGACCCAGCTAACTGCAATGACAGCAGCCAGGAAGAGATGGAATGGAACACACCCAAGAAATGCTCCAGCCAAGGCAGCATTGACAAAGTGCCTACCAGCAAGGATGCCATCAAAAAAATGTGGGAAACAACAGCAGCCATCCCTGGTATCCTAAAGAAACCAGCAGCAAACAAGAAGGACACACAAGGCAGTGACATTGGCATGAAATTGGTTTTTGCCAAGCAGCAGTCCTACATACAGACCAAAGACCCAGTTGATGGGAAGTGGAAGCTTCTGGTGGCAGTGAGTGAAAAGCAGAGCCCTGATCACAAAACCATCATTGAGTTGATCAGACAGGAGAAGCCCAAGAACAAGAAATTGGCAGTGAAGCTCAGGAACTTTTTGCTCTCAGATTGATGTGTTGTCTCACTTTGGTGTGGTCATATGCAAGAGGCTGCAGTGGAAAATCGCAACTGCAAACACTGCAAACCCTGGCACAAGGCAAACAATAAGAACCAGGCATGATTATAGCAGCTACTGTTGGTTACACTGGTTTTGTGCTCTTACAAGCCCTTGCTTGCAGGTTTCAATTGCAGGCATGCAAGCATGCTTGCAATGTTCAGCCTGTCTTTGGGTTCACATGTTGGCCATGTGTTTGAGTTGGCAGTCACCTGTTTGACTTTGCAGTCATGTCTGGTCCTGCCTGACTTTCAGTCATGTGTTTGACTTTGCAGTCATGTGTTTGACTTTGCAGTCATGTGCCTGGCTTTGCAGTCATGTGCCTGGCTTCGCAGTCATGTGCCTGGCTTTGCACCCATGACAGGGCACCCTTGTGCTACTAATTAAATGGCTTTGCGACTGCATGTGTTTGGCTCTGCTGCCATACTTGTGGAGAGGCTCCTTGGCAACCCTGACTTTGCAGTCATGCCTTGGTTTTGCAAGGTTTGTAGGGTTGAAGCAGTTTAGCCCGTACATGATTGATTGCTGTGGTTTCCCCTTGTGAGCTTGTGAAACCTTGCCCTATTGGATTGCCCATGCAAGCCATGCAATGTCATGCTTGCTGCAGGCACTGAATGCAGCTTGCTGTTGGTGATCTGAGGGTTGATGAAGGTTGGCAGTTCAGCTTGGCTGTGGGAAACTATATTGGTTGGTGCCAGCTGGTTGTGGCCCAGGCTAGTTAGATTTGGTGTGCCCAGAAATCTGCCAGAGCCATGTCCAAGGGAGGCAGCTGGAGGATGGGCCCTTATCAGTTGGGGTCCTGGGGTGGATATGGAAACTATGGTGGCAAAGGGGCCAGGAGTTCAAGGGTTCAGCTGAGAGTGATGTGGGCAGAGAGTGGAAGAGCCTCAGTTGCAGCTATAGCAGTTTTACAAACCTGGCTGTTAGTTTTGCATTTTTATTTGGTGAAGCCTGCAATGCCTTGCCCAGGTAACCTGCCTTTTCATGATTGGCTGATTCAAGCTGGCAATGCAGCAGCTGTTTTTCAGCAAGATGATGAGATGTCCTCCATCAGAAATGTGGTCATTGACGTGATGACCGACTACCAGAGGCAGCAGCAACAGCAGCAAGCACAGCCAGCAAACATGCAACAGGCAATGCCAATGCAGCCCCCCGCACCACCAAGCCTTGGGCAGCATGTGCTGCCACCACCCCAGCCAGCACCCGGCCCCTCCAATATGCTGCCCCTTCAGCCCAAGCAGCCAGCCATGCCACCACCCCAGCCAGCCATGCCACCACCCATGCCCCATGCAATGCTGCACGAGCAGAAGCAGCAACACCAATTGGAGCTGCATCAATTGCAGCTGGAGCATGACAGTGCCCTTGAGGAGCTGAAGGTTGAGCTCGCCAGCAAAGACACTTAACTGTAAATTTGTAAAATGTTATTAACATATGCCAGCACCAAGCTCTTTACCATGTGCTGCTGGTGTTGCCATGTCTTGTTGGTGAAATTGAGCACATCAGGAAGCCCAGCTGCTGCATGAGTCCACTGAGGTGCAAGCCACTTGTCACACAAACTATTGGGTGCTGGGGGGGGGGGGTAGTGGCAACTGTTTGTGGTGGAGACTGG